ACTCTGCAACAGCGTCCAAAGAGCAACGTACAGACCGCGAGCGCTTTCAAATAAACTGACAGCCCAGCGGCGCGGCTCAGGGGCTGAGCCTCAACCTAGGAACCAGGAGGTCACGGTTCGATTCCCGGTCAGGGCACAGGCCCGGCTGCGGGCTCGATCCCCACTGGGGGGCGTGCAGGAGGCAGCAGATCCATGATTCTCTCTCCTCATTGATGATTCTATCTCCCTCTCCCTTCCTCTCTGAAATCAATAAAATATGTATTTAAAATAATAATAAAGTGACGGGCCTTGGGCTCTTTATTATCTCGTCACCTTCCACGGCATATTCCCGCGTCAGCTCATGTGTTGGAGAAACTGTGATTCCAAATTAACGGCCTAAGTGCCCAACACTCACAAAGATGTATTTTGTGAGCCAAATCCATCCACGTCTCGAGGTGTTTCTTTAAGCGAGATTCTCACCTCTCTGCCTGGGGGTCCCCAGCACAGAACAAGACCCCACCGCGTGCTCAGCACCACTGCCGTCCAGGGACGCCCTGAGGGCCACCCCACCTCGCACAGGTGCCACTCAGACAGGAGGGGGGGGGACACGGACAGCCGGGCAGAGGGGGATGGGGCAGCCGTTATAAATAAATAAGATGAGGCGGCGGCTTCGAGGGGAAGCTCTGCACAGAGGCGGCAGAGAGAAAGGCTGGCTGCGGGATGTTTCATGAGCCCACGGAGATAGCGTGTCGCTCTGTGAAAGCCGGGGGGCGGGGGGCAGCCAGTGAAAGAGACTGGGTGCCCGGTGCTGCAGGCGGGGAGGTGGAGAGAGGCAGGTGCCCAGGGGGGCGCCCCGTCCCAGGTGCAGGAGGGAGAAGTTGCGAGATGGCTGTTCCCCTTCACTTGTTTAAAAATAAAAAATCCCTCACCCCGTGTCAGCCGCGAGTCAGCTTCCATTTGTCTTGATAACAGAGTACGGAGCAGGAGCGTGGACATAAATAAACACACAGCCACACGCCGCAGGCCGGACAGGAGGCGAGCCTCCGGGTGGGGTAGGACCTTCTTTCACTCCTAATCGCACAAGCGTCGGACAGCTGTGTGCACAGGAGCAAGCCTCCAGCTTCCACGCGGCACAGCAGGGGGCCTCAGTCAGGTTTTGGGGGGGGGTGACTATCAGAGAAGGGTGCAGGGGAGAGGCAGCACCTGACCTGGACCAGGCAGGCGAGGGCTGGACTGGAGACGGCAGCCCCCCACCACCACCCCAGCTCAACCCGTCAACCCGCCGTCTCTCTCCATGTCTCCCAGGAGCCATGGCGGCGATGCTCAGAGCTGAGTGGGCACGGGAACAGCCAGGTCCGCTCTGACCTGGTCCCAGGAGCCTTCCCACCTGCCTCCTGCCCCACCTGCCTCCTGCCCCACCTGCGTCTGCGGGCCTGGGCTCTGCGTGGGCCT